GTGCTTAAGACGGTCTTAAATATAAGAACTGACTATGAATACCGGCCTAAGACTTAAGAATTTCAACCATACGGAATTTTCAGCGTAGCTTACGTTTCAATATGGCTGCCTTACTGTTCGACCGTGATTGGTCAATTCGCTTACGTCTTAAGGGCCGTGGCACATGAAAAACTTAAGCAGTAAGACTTAAGATTTAAGAATTTCAACCATACGGAATTTTCAGCGTAGCTTACGTTTCAATATGGCTGCCTTACTGTTCGACCGTGATTGGTCAATTCGCTTACGTCTTAAGGGCCGTGGCACATGAAAAACTTAAGCAGTAAGACTTAAGATTTAAGAATTTCAACCATACGGAATTTTCAGCGTAGCTTACGTTTCAATATGGCTGCCTTACTGTTCGACCGTGATTGGTCAATTCGCTTACGTTTTAAGTCTTACTGCTTAAGTTTTTTTATGTGCCACGGCCCTAACGGTTACACCAGCCCGGCCTTCTGAGATCACGTGACCAACACTGGCCAATCCCTGACCACTACGTCATCACGACGTCATCGAGTCGTCCGCCAAGGTGACGAGATACGAGATAGCCGCTGCGAGCTGCGAGTTCGTTGCCGCCTGCAGACGGGAACGGACGTGTTCAAATACGTTGTGCGTGTATCCTTTGGATTTTATTTTTGAGTTTTATCTTCCCCCCCCTCCATATAGAAAATCACCAATGAGATGCTAGGAAAAGAGACTAAGAGCGCATTCCGTTTCACGCATTGAGCGCATAGATCGCCTGGAAATCTATAGTTCACGTAACATATCTTATAGATTTCCAAGCGATCTATGCGCTCAATGCGTGAAACGGAACGCACTCAACAGAGGCCTCCCATATAGTACCTCTTTTTCAACAGCAAGCACACGTTTGTCTATCTCACAATGCTCAATGCAGTCTATATATCTATGGTAATTACCTAACCAGTGCCAATCAAACGAAGAAGAAGATAGCCGCTGCGCACGCAACTCACAATGAACATGGCGATAAGTAAGGCTATGCCTTACACAAATAATAAAAATTTGGCAAAGATTAATATTGAAGCATGGAGCTCTATTGGTGTTCCTACTACTGTAATAAAAGCTTTAGCTGATCAGAATTTTCATTCTCCTACTGCGATACAAGCTCAGACATTGCCAGCTGCTATATTAGGCCGCAGAGACATATTAGGTGCTGCTGAAACTGGTAGTGGCAAGACATTAGCTTTTGGTATCCCAATAATAAAAGGTATCTTGGATTTGAAGAAGCAGGAGTTAGAAATACCAGTGTCTAAAGAAACTATAAAATATGACTCTCAAAATAGTCATTGGAGTTGTTCAAAAATAGCAATATGCAACAACGACAACGTCTAAAAAATCTCGAAAGGTTGTATAAATATATATATATATTAAATACATTTTTTTGTGAAATTTGTACTAATTGGAAGAGGGATTATAGATTTCAAGCTGATGAAAATGGACTATTAATAGCCACGGATGTAGCCGCGCGAGGTTTAGATATACCTAACATAGAGCATGTAATACATTATCAAGTCCCAAGGACATCCGAGGTGAATATCTAAAATATTAACGCTAATATAACATAATACTTTCACACAAAACTGATTTGACAATTATTTTATAGAATTACGTACACAGGAGCGGTAGAACGGCAAGAGCAGAAAAAGAAGGTATCACAGTTCTAATGATGGAACCTTCTGAAAAACAGAACTATAGCAAGTTGTGCAAAACTCTTGGACGTAGTACGTTAACATGAAAATAATTAATATTCATTTATTAATGATTAGAAATACGATAATAACATGAATCTCTGTTTCTAGCGCATGATTTACCTACATTTCCTGTAGTAGATAGGCTATTAATCTCTGTAAAAGAAAGAGTAGATGTTGCTCGCGATATTGATAAACTGGAATTAAAATGTCGCCGGCAGAATACTCAGAAAAGTTGGTTACGGAAAGCAATGGAGGATATGGATATGATTTTGGACGATGACGACGACGATAAGTAAGAGAAATGAATTGATTTGCTTATATTTTTTATCTATACAACGTAAATTATATTATTTTTTTATTTTAGTGAATTATCAACGGAATCGGAAGAAGCAACAGCATTGAGACGACAATTAAAGGTAAAGAGAAGTCACTTGCGATCTCTGTTATCAAAGCCAGTATTCCCGAAAGGATTCTCAGGAAAGTATCTTGATGATAATTTAAACATAAATTCTGCTCAGGATACAGAGAAAGCTATCGAAGTGATGAAAAAGGCAATAGAAAATAATTCCCGTAAACGTAAAGAGAACAATATCGTATCTCAGAAAAGAAAACGATTGCAAAAAGAGCTGAAAAAATCTACAAAGTTTAAAAAGACATAAAATATATCTTGTTTATATATACGAATCGTGCTGATATTTTTTTCATCATATTATTTTGTTTGTTTAATATTCATCACAAAACGGATTTCACAGAACAATCATGAATTAACAAAAATTAGATAAATTTTATTTTGTCGCAGGTTATACTTACATTCATAATTAATTTGAGCGATTCATCATTCTAAGAAACATATTTTTAATATGCATATGTTTCCTTCTTAATTGTTAGTATTTTAACGTATGGCAAAGGTATATACAGGTTTCTGCATTTTTCTACAAAAACACTTGTACATGTTTCCTTAATATGCACATGCTTATGTAATATAATACATTCCTCGAAACAGCGAATAGAAAGTCGATCGATGAACACAGCCGGTTTGCCTACACTTTATAAATTTCACATGTCGCTGCTGCAAGTTACAATTAAATTCCTTTTTCGGTCGTTTTCGTATTATTATGAGCATCATCATAGCGATTTGTACGTTAACTCGATAATTTCAGAACACGGTGTTATAGATTACTTCGTCCTCCGTACTGATAATGGAGTCGATCTGCTCGCTCATCACCATCGAGTTCGCGTACCTCTCGTTGCCGATCACATTGCGCGTTTCTAAGGACGAATCATGGCCCTGCACGACGATCCTGATTCGCGCCATCACGTGGCTTCCTGGACATTTTTGTACCTGGTTTACCGTCACAGTGTCGCAGATCTCGGCGTAAATCTCCTCATTTTTGTTGCTTGTCCTGACCAGCTTCGGTGGTAACGGCAATGGTGTCAGGCTGTCCCTCACACGGGAGTAGTTGGGCTGCAGTTCGATGCACGTCGGTACCTCCAACACGCTGGTCGATACGGATCTCTGTACCGGTTGCTTAGCGTTTTGATTCTGACGAGTCTGATGGGAGGTAGTTTCCGGTTCCAGACTGGAGTAACGTTCCTGAGATCTCATAGCTATTTCCGGTCTTACCGCGAACGTGAACGAGGCCGATTTCTTCGCGGGATTGCGGTTTCTGCTGCTTTGAGCGAGTTTCGAGATTCTTTCAAGAATGCCGTTTCCGGTGTTTTGCTTCGTCTGTTGGTTCCGTTCCTTTGCTGTGTTCCGCTTCAGGTGTTCCAGTCCATCTTTTAGACTTTGCAGAATCGGCTTAGTCTCCGACTTCGGCTTGATCTTCTTCAGATGCATCTCCTTCAAACTCTCAGTTGTTGGCGGATACAGTTTCACGGGCGCCACTCGTGGCTCGGTTGCACGATCCCCGACCGCTCGGCTAAAGTAGAAAAACCAGTTCAACCACATAGAATATAAATTCCAATATAATAAGTTAACAGTTGATTTCTGTGATACGTCAAACCAAATTAATGAAATTTTTAGAAAAGTTATGACATGCTGAGAAACCAGAATTAGACAATTTTATTCGAATAATACAGTTAACGAATAAAAAAAGATATTTAATTTTTACTTCTGTAATTTATACTCTAGGTGATTAATTTGGATAATATGTTGAAGTCTTTATTAGGAAACTGAACTTTAATTTTATAAAAGCAAAGTTAATTTTGCTTTAAATTAATTGATTTACCTGCAGGCTGATAGTAATCGTTGAATTTTTGGGGAGGCCAGCAATCTCGCCTCCGAAGGGTAACCCAATCTAGCCCTTCGCACTCTCGGCGCACCGTTACCGGATACAACTAATTCGAGCATTTCCGGATTATGCACCGGTCTTTCCGGAACTACGCAGCCCAAAACTATTGGACCTCGCGTCGACGTTTCCAACTGCATTAGACCGCCGTATTCCTTTGGCAACGGCACGGGCAACGGTCCCGCTATCAATCGTACCTGAAGCGACAAATTAATTTAATCGATAATCGAAAAGAATGAAAAATATAATAAGATATTTTTTTAGCGTTGATTATTAAAAAAGATAGTATAAGCTTCATAAAAGCTCACTCACTCTGAGAGGCAACTGCCTCTTGGCGAGATGCTGAACCTTGTAAAGTACCGCGTCACTTCCGGTATCGACGCTTCCGTTTTGACAGATCGCGTAAAACTCGCCTCTGGTCGACAGCGAGGCAAATACTTCTCGTCCATGAAGATCGATGCATTGGGCGTATTGGTCCTTTTCGGGATATCCGCCGGAAATCCCGAAGGAGACCGAGCTGCATCTCCTCGTATCCTGAAAGACCGCTACGAGCCGCAATATCTCGCCGGCTTTGATCGTCGTCTTCGTGTAATGGGCACGCAGATTTCCGTTCTCTGAAAGATATAAAATGCGAAATTGATCACGGATTGCAGCCGCGATATTATTTGCAATGTTGCAAAGGTACGAAGGGCGTCGTGATCATGCAACTCGTTCCTTCGATTATATTGCGCGCGGTCCCGTTAAGAACGCGTCGAATCTCAAAAGAAGCCCAGCTTATAATCGATCCTGGCAGCAGTCGTGTCCTAAAGGCATCTTTAACGGTACCGAACGATACTAAAAGGCGGCAGAAGTCCTTTCCAGTCATGTCCGATGGTCTCTCGCGCGATATATTGTACACGTATCTAATATTAGGATCGGAGACTGATCCCAACCGCTGCCGTTACTCGTGTTTTTATCGATTATCCCGTTTTAACGAAGCTTCAGTTTTATCACATCGTTTATATCTTATTAATGCGTGTCATTGGCCTGTTATTAGCTAATTTAAGCTAATTTATGATACGCGAACATGTCTGGCCCATGATGAATCTAACAGAAAGATGCTCGAAACTTCCTCTTTTAATTTTTACACTTTTAACAAGGTTGTAAAGTAAATATAAGAGACATTTTTACGCGTATAAATATGTAAATGAAATTTTTATCGAAATGAATTAGATTAAAATTAAATATTTTATTGGATCTTTCTACTCCTTGAATATATTTTTTACATTTTTATTTATGCCCGCTTTAAATTTATACATCTTTTAACTTCTAGACTGTCAACAGACATAAATTACTAAACGCGTGGTAATTGGCAATATTCTCATGTAAAAAAGATATCCTCGAGAAAGATATATTTTCGAACGTGCATTTCTGTTTTCACGCGGACTAAATGAAGATGAAAAGAGAAAAAGATCACTTTCTATGTTGCACTGATATGCATCTGGGTCAAGAACGTTGCATCGCTTGACATTTCGCGATCGTGATCGCAGTACCTTCCAGTTTCTTCTGCTCGAACTTACCCATTTTTGAATGTGTCAGCGTGTAAGCTCTTAAGGGCGTCGCAAGCAGAAACACCGGTACCCCTGTCTTCACCAAAGAATCCACCCTTCGGTAGACGCGTGCACTGCCCGTCGTGTTATTGCCAGATATCACAGAAAACCATCCTGAAAGGATAAAACGTTAAATATCAATGTGAGAAATTGTTCAATAAAGATACATGGCGTATCTGTCCGATTCTAATATAAACATAATACGACTATATATTAATAAATTAAATAAATGTTATAAAACTTTGCTCCCCTCGTGTGTTTTGATCCTAACAAATAATTATTCGTTTAATAAGTGCAAGTAATAAACTCTTCAAAAAAAGAATACTTAGATTAAACTAGGTTTTTAAATAGGTTTCTCGTATCGTGTCTTGTGAGACTTACTCTATAATCATCCAAGATTCTATACGTATATTAACATATATGTATCTTTTTTTAAAAAATAATAAATTTGTTTTAAATTTAAAAGAAAATTTTTTAAATAACAGCAATATATAATTTAATTTAGACATAGAGAAAAGAATTTATAGTTTGAATTTCCTTTAACGAGAGAAAGAGAGAGAGAGAAAGAGCCAAGGCTAAATTTTTGTTGATCATAGCAAAAATGATTGGGAGCAGTCGGCGTCTGTCGAAACAGCAGTATGTCCGGGGCGGACTAAAAAACATATCTATCTGGAAGGAAGGAACTATGTGCTTCTCTCTGCGGTTTCAGCCAGCTCGTAAAAAAGAACCCGTCAAATTGCGAACAGGCAATTTTAGCTGCGCGGTTGTGGCGGAGACACAGTAGCCGAATGGTCGGTCGACTGATCGAAGGTCAATGGGTTCTTTTGCTCGTCGCTAATTGATTTAAGAATGCCGTCCCGATATACGAGCGCACGTCTCGAATCCCGACCCTTAAGGACCGCGCGGATCGCTCGCTCTGGAATGCCATAGAAAGACCTGGCCCGTCGAAAATCCTGAATCCTTCCAACGAAAGCGAAATTAACTTTTTCTCTTGAGTGATTAATTTAAATTTTTAACTTTCAAATTAATTTAATTTAATACAAGTATTGTAAATAATGATTAGAAACTAACTGTATAAAAAAGGATGACTTGCACTAAAATACAGTGTTTTTTTATTAGAATAATGTATTATTTTTATCAATTTTTTATTAAAACTTGGTATTTTATATTTTACCCGTTTTTCTAGAAATCAACTAGAAAAGTATTCAGGGTTCGACATGAGCGTCGAGCAATCGCGAACCGTATAAAGAAGAAAGAGGGAATGCGTTGATGCGAGAGGGGAAGGGCAGTTTCCCTTGGGAAAGTTTTTTCGTTTGCAGGTTGCGCGCATTAATTCTCTGTTCGAGGTTAACTGATGGAATAATCTAGCGGCCGGCGGGGCTCCCTGTTTTTGTTTGTTCTAGATCAACGACCTGGAAACCCGCGCCGCGCGCAATTAGACGGATGATATTGGTTCTCTCGGTACGGTCTTGAGAACGCCTCGAAGGGAGTTAATGGGGGGGGGAAGGGAATTTTCTCGATCCGTCCCTCTGTAGATACACAACAGAAGGACGCGGCGTCTAGCGTCTAGCTCGGGACGTGAGCGTGTACCCCGGAAAAGAAATGTTGCGAAGGCGTACGCTCGCAATTACACAAGCGTACGGCCTTCCCTCACTTTCTATTTCCACGCGCGCATCCGACACAGGTAAAAGACGCGGGACCCCGCAAGAGAGCGAGCGCGTTCAAGTCATAATTATAGGGATTGCTACATCTGTTGTGAAAAATCTATGGAAAAGTTCAGGCATTCAGACGCATGCCAACGACTTCCTAACGTGTCTTATTGTCTTGCGTAATTGCAAGATTACGCGCTTATCGATTCGCATAATAAAGCCCGTCAAGTTTTGTCCGGGCAACCTATTTTTTTTGGACGCTAGCAGGCAGCATATCTTTATCTTTTTCCGATAAAAGAAAGATAATTTAAATATTATACATAAATAATACATATATAAATATATGCAATTAAAGATTAAATAAAGCTTAATTAAATTGGGTATTTATTGGTGTTAAATGATACACAATATTGCGTGGAATTTCACAGGACTATATATTCTAAAGAAACTTCTAGCCATAACTTTTAATAGAGTTCATTAACTCTTTCCTAACTCCATACCTCGTAGAGCATGCACGCGTTGTTGAACAAACACGAGACGTATGGGATCGGTATATCTATATAGTGGGTAGTTTTTCCATGCGTGAATCAACAAATTAAATCCGTTTTATTCTCGTCATTTTTAACGTATCATCGCCGTATACATTGTATTTATGATTCAGAATCCCTGTGCCGGTATATGTAATGTCATAAATGCTGATCCGTTAGCAAACGGAACACATTGTGAACTTATTTAAGGCGCGTGTCTAAAAATGCTCGAACACGCAGAATAGATTAAATTATATATAAGAATGCCGTGTTTCTCGAAATCTTAAATGACATCTCGATACTCGCGTTCTTCGTTTTCCAAATAACTAAATACATAAATATTTTTATATAACATCGATCAACGATTTAAATTTTTGGAGAAATGTAATTCTCGAACTTGATTACCATTGGAAGAAAAATTAAAATTAAAAATAATTTTTTATTATCAAAAAATATATACATTGAATTATCGTTATCGTAGCAATATAAAACTCTTGCTTTCAAATTTTGTATCATGCCGATCTTGATAACAATCGAAGGACTCAAAGCGAGGATTGCAACAACCCAAGAAACCGGACGTTGGCTTGCGCTCCAGGTGCGCTCGTAAAAGTTACGTTATACATTGCAACACGCTTCAAGAATTTATCCTAATTCGTGTCCACCCATTTGGCATAAAATTTCCTTTCAACAAAACACATGATAGGTTTAGTCATCGGTGCACGTGGTTTGATAGGCATGTACAAATATTTAATTTTTATTTAAAAATCTGAATCCAACAAGCATGGCATGTGAGTTGTTGTCGTTCTATTACGATTAATTTCGATGAATTTCCGATAAAATAAAAAAGATATAATTATTTAATTATGTTAATTTATCGAGAGAAATCATTATACATGTAATTAATTGTCATCAAATTGCAAGCGTTGACCATAAAAAGATTTGTCATTCATCCTAGACTGGATTCCGCTAGGTAATTATGGAAACGTGATTGAATAGCAGATTATACGCGAGATTCGCGACAGCGATATCGATGGGATCGAGAATATTCCGACGGGAGAGATCACCAGTGTCGGCGTGACGTTTCAGGTAAACATTGTGGTATCCGAGTGCGCGATATATGTGTTTAGGAGGAGCATTAAGTAAGGAAGAGACTGCAGCCTACACACACACATCTTGCGGCTGGAATCTTTATTGTGCATAATTCACGTTACGCCGCGCGAGACCAATCATTCGGGATATAATATTACCTGGACGTGACTCGAACCGTGACAATAGTATACGGTTCCTGGGCTCTCTGCTATCGATAGTACCTGCTACAGTATAACAGAATTCTTGCTATACTCTATTGATAATGATACATTTTTATGAGATAATTGCTAAAAATCGAATGGTTAAATATTTTTAAACTCCAGTCTTTTAAAATTACAATAATATTTAAACAACTTATTGCAGAGCATTTATCCGCCTCAATAGCTTGGCGATAACAAAAGGGGAAGCAGAGAAGAAATCGAATAAAAATGCAAGAAGAATTTATCGTCGTAATAAATCGACGCAGCCGAGGCAAAAGTAGTAGCATCGGTATTAGTAGTATTAGTCGGTATATTAGTAATAATATCGATAACGCGAGGGGGGCAATTAGAACGGGAAACACGACGATAGAGCGCGAGGAAGCAGAAGTCGATCGCAATTTATTAGTTGGTAGATTGCTATTTATATTTTATCTATAGATTTTATCATTTTGTAGAGAAATTAGAGCCGGCTTCACGCGAGGGAGGAGGAGGAAGTAAGATAGAGACGGATAGATTGATCCTTTCTGGCTTTTCTCTCCCTTTTCTTTGTCGTGGAAGTCGGTTCCTCGCGTAGCCAGCGTCGGCCGCGATACCCCAGAGAGTTATACCCTGGCATGTAATGACCGTTATTTAAAACCAGGGAGACCGATCATTGCCGAGGGCGCGTCTGGCCGTCTCAGCGCAACATTCTTGCTTTGTGTAAGACCCCTGTCCAAGAGTTCTATGCGAACAAATAACTATATATATAGTTATTTGTATATATGTATACACACACACACACACACAAACATACATATTACACACACATATACACGTCACGTTATAGGAAGAGAGCCGGGATATCTCCGCTGGACCGGGCAGTTGGCAGTAAAACCATACGACTACGTCGGATAAGCCGATCTATACGATCTCTCGGCTCGCAATCACGATCGCAATACTGCACGCAATTCATTCTCCGTTTCTCTGCCGTTTCTATGTCTAAAGAGAAAGAAAGAAGTTTTGAACACATGCGTGCCACGACACGCACGATCGTCGATAGCTTTCAAGTTCTGTGTCTGTGTAAATTGATTAAGAGATGATTATTTATTAACTCTAATTTATATATATTTTTTTATTAAATGTAAAATGCACGATACTTTTATTGCTTGCAATGAAAAATAAATATAGACTTTGCTTTATATAATATTTATAATAAGAAGATATATATTCATTCTTAAAATGAAAGGATATATCCAGCAAGCTTTTCTTGCTGAAAGGACGATGTCTCGCTAAATATCGTTTTGTACACTATGCGTCGTACTATTAGTCTCACGTCGCGTTTAACTTTCTTACGACGGTCCTATCTTCCGCGCGCGAGATCGTTTACCTTCCTTTTTTTCGCGGCGGGCGGTTACCGTGCATCGTAAACGTTCGCGATTCGTTCCAGGTGAACGGCCGACTGTCAAAAGGTAGATTTCTTGTATGTTGTGTCAAATAAAAACGGGTACGCGATTATCTCATAAGCCGTTCTATAAAACTTTAGGGGCTATCGATGCTATCATCCCCTGCGTCGAATTGCGTGTTAACGGTGCCAGCGTGAAGAAAAAAAGAAAGAAGGTAGAGGAAGACAAGGGTCGCGAGTGAGGAAGGACGTCGACCTCGACGCGTCATCGACGAGAACTGTTCTCTCTTTCTCTCTCTCGAGATTTTATACGCTTAATAAATTACTGTAAACTGAAGACCGGCCGCGTAGAATCGTCGACTCTCGTCCGAGGTTTGCACGAATGACAGTTAAGCCACGGCCGGTGATTTGTATGTACGATATCGGCCCTATCAGTCCATGGAATCGGATGCGCGCCTCTGAATCTTCCCCTAGTAATTTTATCTCGGTTGAAGGTTCATGTTGCACGTCTCCGACGAGATTCCCTTTCGCTGGCGATGATTCGCGAACAGCCGCCGCCCTGAGCTTTCGATGGCATCTTCCTCTTTGTCACGCGAAATTGAAACCGAAGAATTCACGTCTAATATATCGCGGCGTTGCTAGTTGCAATATTATGTGGCAAAGCGTGCGATTGGTACACTGTCAGAAAATTCTATCGCTACTTTTAATCCGTAGTTATTTATGCCTAATACGTTGCGAAATTATATCAATTTCAATGCACCAGGATCAATGCATCGGATTTCAAAGTCTGGAACAAGGATGACTGTAACCGTAAAATTCATTCGACATTTGACGATGGAATTAAAAAGCCGAAAGAATATTACACAGAATGTTATCGCCACTTTATACACTTTAAAACACATTACACGCGGCTCCGTAACGCGTTTCTTATCCTCTCTCGAATGTCTTCATTTCATCCCTCACGGACATTGCGCGATTTCTTGAATCATAAGCGTTAGCGTAGAGAAAATACTCGAAGCGCTTTTTATTCGTCGAGATAAGCTGATTACGATGATGTATAATGGGCACGTAATGTACGATGCACATGCCTCTAATACATCTAGCTGCAACTTATGGTTCTCTAGCCGACGAAAGCCAGACCCGCAGAAAATTGCGAATGACGTGATGCAGGCGCAAACGTAAAATCGCGATGGTGTTTAATCTGTTTCATATTAATTGTCCGGCATGTTGAATCATAAAACATTTAAGATTGCCGCTAGCAAGATTTAAAATTTTTCCACGTAAATGACATTTTGATACAATAACCGTTATCTAATGATAAAAAAGAAAAATTCAATCTATTAAAAAATTATTTTATCATACTTTATAATATATTATACAGCGACATAGAAAATCTTATGTTTACTATATTAAAGAAAAGTGTATAATGAAAATCTTACCACAATTTCATCAACGTTATATGCAGATTGCTTTCTCGGCTCTCATAACAGACAGAAATCGAATGCGACGTGTTATATCGCACCGTCGACGCGGGCGAGATTATAATATGATTTCGTGCAACACCCGGAACGGACTTGCATTTAACGGCAGCCGGCGATCGCGCATTTCACGCACGTGCGCCGTGCTGGACAAATGGGATTAAGTCAGATGACGAAAGCGTCCGGCTCGGAATCTTGTCATACCGACCGTTTGAAATTCCACGATAACGCACAAGGAAAAGTGGTCGGAGGAAAAGTAGACAGAGAAAGGGAGAAGGAAATATTTTTGTCCAGTAAAATAATGAAATTTATCATAGTGCGTTGGTCGGAATTTAAATGACTGGTACTCGTAGCTTTGAATACTGAGAATTTCTAGTTTCCCAGCCAGTCTGTGTGCTAGAAAGAATAATCTCTTGTTCTCCATAAAATGATGAACTAAACGAAGCCACTGTATCTTAAAGAAAAATAATTTTGCAGTTTTCGTTAAGGACTGGATAATGGGAAAAGGAGGCAATTTTAGACGGGAAAGCCGTTTTTGTTTTATCCACCAACGAAAGAAAAGCATATATACAATATACGCGCATATACCGCGTGACTTCTCATTCGCTTCGTGCTTTAACCTCGGCCGATCGTTTTGAGGGACTCGTCGCGCGAGCGAGTAATTCGCTATTTGAGCTGCATGTCTGCCTGTTACTTTTTGTACCGAGCAGTCAACAGTAAACGTCCGACGACGCTTCTTTATCACCGCGCCGGTGAAGTGGTCTCGCGAGGTCCGCGAGTAAGCGTTTAAAACGCGGAACTAATTCGCGCGAGACGTCTAGCCGCGCGACGATAGAAACGTGTTTTTTATTCTTCCCCGCGTGCGATTTCACCGCGTGAATTACGTCGCGGCACACGTGGCGAATTCGTGGGCGTGGAGTAACATTTCCCGGCTCAATTTACTGTTAGTACCTTGCGACTTATACGCAACGTAACCAACCTCGCGTCCGCCTCAAGTGTCAATTTATCCGCGAGCGGTATGAAGCTCATATCCGCGCGAGCCATTCGATGCTTTGGAATTTCTTCTTCTTCGTCGTCAAGTAACGAGTAACCTCTGTTCAGCACATCCATCTCTCTAAAAACGATCTTCACTCGAAAACTTCGCCAAGCAAATGCACGAGAGAGCCGGATAGCTTTTTTCCCAGATTCCAATCGCCATCCGCTCTCTGACTAGTCGTGACTTGACGATATTTCGCGCAAAGAGCTTCAAAGTCAAAAGCCAGACGCTGTCAAACAAGCAGAGTGAAAGGAGAAGAGCCAGCAGTGAATTGCCGAAGTCATTCCGAATCGTTTCCAAATTGGTATGGGCTCTAATAGAGACTAGAAATTGCCTTGAACTCTGTCCTGTATCGTGAGTCACCGATGCGCGAAATAATTTACTGATCAGCGGCGTTTCTCTCGCATGAATCAGCCGAATCGCTATCGAGCGAAAAAAAATTGCGTGACGAAAAACTCGATAACTTTGACGTTAATACGAACCTGTTTACCCGCGATTCGTCAGACATTCGTAATAGGTTTAGCCGTAATCGCCCTTGGTTGTTCATTAACGAGACAGTAAGAGGAAAGTGCGCTAAAATTCTGTTTCTCAATCACTCGCAGCCCCGGCTACTTAACATATCTGACTCACGACCAACGACATTTTTATTAAAATACAAAGTGCATTTATTAGACGCAGTTGGCGGGTCTTGCGCGACGTTAATTCCACACTTAAAGACAAAAATCAAGAAAAATGAGAGAATGAAAAAGACGAAGTAGAGGGAAAAAAGCGTGTGAGAGGTAAAAGTATCAATATATTGGATAGCATCGTGCACTCGCGCGAAAGAACCAGATGTTGTTAGTTGATGGGTTTCTCTTCAAGTCGTCCAGCCACCACCGAGCTTAAACATTCCCTCTATTTTATCTCTCGTCCATTCGATCTAGGTCCGCGTTACTGCGCTTTATTGCTTCATAATTTCCATTTCTGATGCCAGAAAACTAATATAAGTCGCGTACGCAGGAGCGGAGACCGCCCCTCCTGCGAGTTTCGCGACTTACTTCGCTACACAAAGTGCTTTACGATTGAGATGAAAAAAAAAACGAGTAGGAACATTAATAGTATGATGGAAAGATATATTTCTCTCTCTCTTTCTCGTTCTTTCTTTCGCGCGCGCGAGGTCGGAGCATTATCATTTTTCTTGTAGCCTCTTTTGCGTCCACGCGAGCAGCAACGCAAATGCGTGAACGAGCTCGATAAAGTCTATAACCTGTTCCAATGATTCCAGCCGGATGATCTTCACAACCGTTACCGTTCACTCTGCCAAGCATAATTTACATGCTACACGCTGTCATTTCTCACGGCCATTAAAAGAGAAGCTACATCGATATCACAACCCAAATAAAATGAAAGACAGAAAGATATCTCTCTTCACAAAGCGAACGTCCAAAAGAAGATTCAATTTTAATATTCTCGACTTTGATATTTTTCAAGTAGTTCTCAGTTTACGTCATTTTTCACATCTTTAATGAAAATCACAAATAAAATCCGGAAAAATTCTCCGCGAAAAATAATAACGTCAAAGATCTAACTGATTGTAACGTCGTCGATGCAATGATTGTTCCAAGGGATCGATTCAAATCCCGATCGAGAAAAACTCACCTGGATAACCTTCCGGAATGACGATCTCCGGTCCCACCTTGACGTCATGTCGGTACCGGTGCATCAACAGGCTCGCTGTGACTCTCAGCGATCGTTGCTGCTGCTTGTACAGGAGCACCGGTCTGCCGCTGGTGCCCTCGAGTCTGACAACTCGCGGTAATGAAAATCGGTCCAGGAACTCCCGTAGCGGCATGTATCCTCCGCCGGAGCCGGAACCACCCTCGGCGGTCGCCTCCCTCGAGCTCGGCAGGGACTTGGGCAGCGAAGGCATCTCCTCACTGGACATCGTCGAGAATTCACTGTTCGACGACATGATCTCACATATTTCGGTATAACGTCACTTTTCGCGAACGACTTTCGGAAACATCGAGACAAATGTCCGGCAAACGACGAGATATGCGAAGATGACAAATGCGATAAAGCTGATTCGAACGAGATGGTTCTCTTCAGGGTGATGTAAAGCTCGAGGGCGTAACGTCATTTAATCCTCGTGGTGGCGGAGCAAGTGCGACGCTTGCTTTCGAGAGCATTGTTACTCCTTTCTCGATACTCGCTCATTACCGCTTAATAACGGACGCTTGGACGCACTTTCTTCTTTAATTATGTCACTCCGCTGCGGCACGGCAGCTGTCACTTTCCGTCTCGCGGCACGATAATAGTGACATTAATCCTCTCAGTGTTGATTATTTTTGACATTTTGCAAGCTCCACGCAAGAAATTTTTTTCGTAAATTGCAATGCGAGAGAGGAATGAAATAATACACACGATGGGCTAAATAATCGCTATGTTTACGTATTTTTTGAGTAAAAATTGATTTTTGTTGTCAAATTGCGTATTGATTCGCAGTGGATATTTTAGCCAGGACTCGATAAAAAATATATGAAACTTTGCTTCACTAGACACTAAACTGTTACCCGAGGCAACAGCGCGTAGTGAAATCGAGAATCACGAAACACCGTCCAACGAAACCTAGTCGATTCTTCCTTAGCGGCACTGTCAAGGCGATCGATCCGCTCATAGGTTTGCCACTTTGCGTCACACTTTTCACACGTGCAACAGATCATCTGTTATCAGCCGATCGGAGCAGTAGCGCGCGCGCGATACCATTGAAAACCTATCACGATTTATCGATAGTATTCTCGCGATTATAAACATCGAGCGTGGACAGACAACGCATCTTTCTTTAGCGGCAAAACTATTACGATTGCGGCAGTATCCGCGATGATCATCGGCGTGCAAAGAACGTCCATGCACCGTATCTTCTTACGGGAAAACTATCAAGATCAATCGATAATATCCGCGAGAGATGGTTTACACCGATGAACGAGAAGCAAACGATGAATATCCGCCTCTCTGTACGAGGTATCTTCCGGACGTCCTTTTCCCGATGATGAACGACGATGAGGCTCCTCTTCCGGGCTGTTTCGTTTTCGTTAGCGTTGCCGAGGCATCCGAGAATAGATGGATTCGATGGACGCGCAATCGAATGATGGATCCCGCTTGACTAACCGAGCCGCTGGCTCCTCTTTCTCTCTCTCTCTCTCTCTTTCCTTCTTTTTCTCTCTATCTCTCCTTACGCGAAGGCAGTTATCTCCCGCAGTTCGATCCCCGTGGCGTTTATGATTTACCGGTGCAGTCGGCTTTCTTTCGCCGTTTCTTACGCGGACCTCGCGAGATATATCTCGTGGCGCGGACGCTTTTATTGCTTTATACCGTGCATGCAAGCCGCGGGGTGTCTTTGGACGCCTCGATAACTGGGTCTGAGCTGCATCCTGGTAGCCTCCGAACAGGACCTACCGTATACCGCGAGGGAAGACGAGGTAAAGAAGGAGGTAGAGAGGTCCCGCGGGGATATCCCTCAGACACCTTGTCGGCCGAGGTCGCGCTGCATCGCGGTGGTCTGAAACAGATAAGCAGGAGATACGGTCAAAGTATGCTTCCATCCACCAAGTTTGATTGCGGCAATGCATCGCTTTATAAGTCGGAGCCAATGTGCTCCTTTAACAAACGCACTTATGTATTTTTTTCGCGAGCAAATAAATTCAGATTCTCTACAATAGCGATTATATAAAATAGTCAAATTAAAAAAATATTTGTCAGACAAGAGTCCTATATTTATTTAAAGATTTCTAAGAATCGCTTCAAAAGGAAGAATGAACGTGTTTTAATAACAAATCGAAAAATAAATGTGTATTTTATTAAAAATATTCCAATTCTCTTACCGCACACATTTGGCGCCGATTTCCAAAAGACTGAAATCGAATGGTCCAATTTTACAAATCGATTCAAGAGTAATGTGCGATTTCTACTATCTCTGGCCTTCCGCGGAAGGACGCACGCCCCGCACCTCTTGGAGAGGATCCGGTCGGATCGGCGGACGCGAAGTCACTGACGCCCGGCTCGGGCTGAGTCGAGTGTAAGAGCTCCACCGACACCAAGAGCTCTGAACGCGCATACGATCGTCGCCGTATAATCGTTTTGCTAGTGTGTGCTCCGTGTGTGCCACCACCTCTATACCAGCCGCGTTGTCAGTGCCAGCAATACCCGCGGCCTGAACCTCGCCCGTGGGGTCCCCCGGTTAACAGAATACGCGCGCCGACTTATACGTGGACGTGGGTTTATTCAATATAAGATCCTATTGTTGCCCGCGAGAGCTGTTACCCCACAGGAGTCGCGCGCACCGCCCTCGATACATACTTCCTTCCTAGAAGTACGTAATAATCGCTCATAATAGCAACCGAGTCAGTCTTGGTGTATGCACAGCAACGAAGAGGCACGAGCAGCTGACAATTGCGGCGTGCTGAGATTAAATGGTAGCTGATCAGATCGCGGTTGGGATCAGAAGCTACTTCGGGACCGAGTAGATCAATCTCGGGAGGAAGGAAAGATTGAGTCAAACTTTAGAAGATTAATATATATATATATATATTAATATAACTTTTTTTCTGATATTAAGAAATATGTGAATTAAATCTAATCGAAATTTCTTCCAAGTGTTTCTTAAAAAAATTAATTTTATTTCCGATATTGAACATTTCATTTTCTCCGATGCGTAGTCGATAACCGAATCCTTCAAAAATCGTATTCTGAGCAACGAAAATACAATAAATAATATGCATTTTCATAAAAGTGACTAAGATATTACATGCAATTTCCTTATACGGCTCTATTTAAATAAAACGAGCCCAAGTTCTATATTTGGTAACACTCGGATGAGATTCAGCGACGACGATCGCGTGTGATAGCCTTCTTTTTGCACGCTCGCAATGGTAGCGAATACTTATACATTGTCTTGCACTTGAACGCGAGTAAAGATTGTAAAAATTACGAGCGAACCGCTGTGATTTCCGAGTGGGCGGAAAGTGGAACGACCTTGGATTTAATTTTTGTTGAGCGTACATATTACCGGTGCGGACTGGCGTCCGTTACATCATTATAGATTTCTCTCTCACGCGTTACACGATTCTTTTTATGGAAATTGCTCAGATGCACAATAAAGATTTTAACATTCACTAGACGGTCTTTAATCCTATTAGTCAAATTAGGATTAAGAAAAGGAATATAGTAAAAAGTCTAGAGACATTTAAATAATCTCTGTGATTTTCAAGTTGAAAAAATTCACAATTTTGCAACACAACTTTTTATTAATATTTTGTTGTTTTTTTATTTGTCTATTGCTAGTGCCTAAGAAAAGAAATGTTTTAACTCTTTTGTATTCGCCGATCTTTCTGCCCGCGTTCCCACACGTATGTAACACGCGAGTATTAGTGTTACGCCAAGCAAGAAATATCAGCATGGCAATTACACACGTGATCGTTTGCCGGTTGACAGACGGAGGAAATCATTAGACCACTACCGTTAAATTCGCGGATGAAAGGGTTACGCAATGCGAATACGCAATATCCTATTGCCAATATCTATATAATCGCCATTATCGTCATCGTCATCGTCATCATCATCATCGTCATCGTCATCGTCATTTGCACCGCTGTACGTCGATTCTCGTTCTTCGCGCCGCGAAACGTAGCCGGATTTCGACTCGATCATTAAACGACCGCGCGAATTTCCGTCTGAGTTCTCGAAATTCCGGAGATTGTCGTTGCAATTTATGTCGTTGTGCTCTCTAGGATGTGACGGTCTCACGTGTGATATTCGCGAGAAATACAACGTGAATTCGTATTCCCGTTCGCGATAATATCAGTTCCGTCAGTGAGGATTGCGGTAATTTCTCTCTCTCGGCTACATAACGTGAACTAACGAACAACTATTTTGCTAATAGCGGGACAAATGATATGTGATGCACCGCATTATCGGAACATTTCGTAAAAATCGTTAAATATTACAGTGGCGAGCAACCATGCATACCATTGCATCGGAGAATGCTTCGAGGTTGTAAACAAGAGATCGAAGAAATGGCAAAAGATCATGAAAAAATCGCATCACAAAGTGGCGAGGAGCGTATCTCGTTGCCATAGTATGTCGCAATCTATTGCAAAACCTATATTATATTTTTTCATCCGTTGGATTCTTCTTTTCATATTCATTTCCAACACCTCATTAATTAAATTAAATTAAATTATTTATTTCGATCAAAAATTGCCTCGTAAGAATTATCAGTTTCGATATCACATGTTTTTAAATAAATCGCTTTCTAATTCTGTTTCTAGAAAGATAATTATACACGGTTTAATTATGCTTAGCTTGCAATTTTTTCAATGACAGTACAAAAAGATATAAATATGGATATATGCGAGAGATATTACTATTATAATCAAAATGACAACATTACAACAGCGGCTGAATGAGAGATTAGAAGATAAATCAGATTTTAAACTAAGGAGTCATTTGCTGACTCACTTCCACACTCGTTTCAGTCTATTCCATTGTAAGTCTTGAAGTCGTCAAGGAAGCGGTTATTCTTTCTAATCATCATACTTGTCTTGCAACGTGATTTTTTTTACCTTAGTCCGATGATTAGTTTTCTGTATCCATCACTTATATTTCTATGCGAAGTTTTTAAATATTACATATATTGAAATGATGACTCTCAGACCTATCAAAAGATCTCTCCGATAAGTCTTATAGCGAATCCGCCCCTGAATCTCCGGTAGAAACGGCGAGAAGATCCCAGCAACCCCTTTAACGAGACCAAAGTTACGGCAACGAGCTTCTTGGTCTCATCTGGCGCGATATTACAGCGCGATATACCGCGATATACCAGGCAGGCAGGCAGGCAGGCAGGCACGAGGCGCGCGTATGCGAAACACGCCGGGTTTATTAATATACCGTCGGTGGCGACGCGCACTGGTCCATTTAATTCTATATTTACCGCAGATACGTTTAGCTAAAGCGTATGTACAAGAGATGCGTACTAATCTATGGAAAAGATCAGTCAAGGCGAGCCAGAGGGTCCATCGGCGAGGAGGAGATCGCCACGGAGCGATCTTCCCACGGCGATGCGTTCGAGATACGCGACCTTGCGCGGCCTCGCAAGGACAAGGTCGCCATTTTCGACGCAAATGCGCGAACAATTATTATTACCGGTGTTTTATATATGTGTGTGTGTATGTATGTATGTTTCAAGCCAGGGTGTGGCTCGCTATTCCAATGCGAAAGAGAAAACAAAAGCCCCCTTTCCCCGCGTATAATCACGCGCGCGCAGAGAGACAAGATCAAGGGAAACGCTGCCATGTTGCTGCTGATGCAAGGCAAGCGATTATGCACTTTTATGTATCCGCAAGGTCGGCAGAAATCGTAATCGGAGTGCATTTATTTCGCACTCGCGCGTGGTTAGGATTCTTCGGCGAAGACTGTTCTTTGCACTGATATTCCGAAACCAGAATGCAGGAACTTAAATTGAAAATTCATGTCTCGAGAACGTGTGAAGCTTCCTCGAGAGGAGTACACTCTGTCGTTTGAGAAAAACGTAAAGACAAAAGTTATATTCGCGCGAGAATCCAGAACGGCACTTGCTATTTCTACACACACACAATATATAAATAATATA